GGGAAAATTTCAGTAGTGAATACCTCTCTCCCTCTCTCTCTCCTTATCTCTGCAATCCATCAACATTATCTATGTCTCCCTCTCCACCTGTCTCCCAGATTTTCTGATGCTCTCTGCACACACACACACACACACACACACACACACACACACACACACACACACACACACACACACACACACAAGGACGGATGGACGGATGGACGGATGGATGGAGCGCGCGCGCGAGAGAGAGAGAGAGAAGACAGTTCAACACTCTGATATGTTCCCTCCCCTCCCCTCTGACATGCCGTGCCTAAACCCTGCCGCACGCTCGTGAATGCTCTTTGTGAATTATAAAGAAGGGGGAAGTTATTCAAGTTTCTACTGCTACAGCTCAGGCTGTTTTGGTCTCTGATTGGACAAGAAGACTTGTTAGTAAAATGAAGCGTCTGCGGTAGCTGGAACTCAGAGGTTGCAGGTGATTGGGCCTTAAAAAAAATAAAATTCTCAGACATTTGAGATAGATGATTGGTCATGATGGTTTCCTGAGACATTTGTATGTTTGGAAATGCCTGTACAGGTATGACTGCTCGGTTGTTGAGGAACTTGAGAGAGCTTTTTTCAAGTTTTCTGAACTTTTTCCCTTTTTCAAGGTTGGAACTTGGATGTGTTATAAAAAAACAAAACAAAAAAGATGTTACGATCCTGGTCATTTCCCAAGTGCAAATTCACAATGAAAGACAATGCCACCCAAATGCGAAAGAAATGAAAGCACTTGCAAAGAGATAAAGACCAGAGGAGAGGTAAAGAAGAAGAAGAAGAAGAAGAAGAAGAAGAAGTACACCAGCAAGACCAATGACAATTCCCCCTTCTCTCTCCACCTTCCTCCTCCTCCTTCACTTCCCCAATCTTTTTCTTCTCTCAATAATAATAATAACAATGAATGGATGAACCAGAATCAATATCCGAAGCTCCCTCTTACTGCTGACTCAACTCAACAACAACAACAACAACAACCAGTCCACCATAGCTATGGCTTCCCTCCTTCAGCCTTCTCTCTCATGCATAGGCTATGGCGGACTACCTCAAGCAGCTAGGGTGCTGTACTGATGTCCCAAGGACATCCCAAGCAGCTATGGTGCTGCGCTGATGCCCAAAGGACCACTCAAAGCAGCTATGCCGCTGCTGACTTGGTCCGCTATGCCTGACTCTGCCTCGAGCTTCCCTGGTGCCGCATTACCCCAACTGGGGCCTTCCAGATGCAGCGCCCAACAAGGTGATGAAGATGGTGTCTTCCATAGCCAGGTAAGTGCCTCGCCACTCTCTCCCGCAACCTCCTTCTTCCTCCTCACACTGGGCTGCTCGCCATAGCCAGGCTGAGCGCCCAGCTACCTTCACCTCCACCCAGCGCTGTAGCAGACCAGCGCTAGCGCTCCAGCAGCATGTCGCCAATCCTTGCGTACAGCAAATGAGGAAGAGCTCTTTGCTCTTCCTGAAGATATAGCGGCCTACCGGCCTCCTGGGCGGTGACTTCCTAGGCCTAGCGGCCTCCCAGCAACCGGTACCTCCTCCCTTTCGGAGGGAAACATCATTGCAGGCTCTGCTATCCTCCGCACAGGCCCTAGACCCGGGCTACTTGGACTGGTACCGGCCTACCTCTAACCTACCGCTACTGGGCCTCTAAAAATACCAACTTTTTGTCTTCTTCTGCTCGGCCTCCAGTACCCGACACTTCTACCACTACTTCAGTGGTACCAGCCTACCTGCTAAGTGCCGCGGGCCTACCCCCGCTACTCGAGTGTTTTCCCCCTGCAACCCTTCACAGTCACGGCCACAGGTAAGTACCGGCCCTGCGGGGCCTTGCAACCAACAAGTACCCTTGCGGGTCACACACACACTCAGCCGTCAAGCACTCAGACAGGCATGCAAACCAGCAGGCACGCACACACACACAGACATGGAAATCACAGCAGAATGCGGGAATTTCAACAAGGCATTCATTCCAGCGGCAAATCCCAGAAATCAGCAGTGTTCTCAGTCTGTGTTTTTGGCGGGTCATTACAAAGAAAAAAAAAAAGAAAAAAAGGTTGGATGTGTAAGTGTTACATGCCGCGCCTGCAACATGCTGCGCCTGAAACGAGGGCCATTTTTAGGCCCTGTGTTGTTTTCAGCCTAAAAGCGTGAAAACAAGGGCCTACAGGCCCTGTGTCATTTTCAGCCTAAAAGCCTGAAAACAAGGGCCTACAGGCCCTGTGTCGTTTCAGCCTAAAGAAGGGCCCTCCAGGCCCTGAGTCTTTTCAGCCTGAAATGGAGGGCCATTTTCAGGCCCTCATAAGATCGACCTGCCCTGAAACTTAGGCACCAGACCAGGGTTTTAGCACAGGCCATTTTGGGCCTGTTTTCAAGACAACCCTTGTTTGAGCTTCAAGCCCAGGTAAATTCAATCTTTGTGTCTAATCTGACACAGGGTGTGGCCTTTTCAGCCCAGGGTGGCCTTGATATTGCCTTCAGACAACCCCCAGTGGGGGACACCGGCCAGGGGACAACAACCGGTAGCAGAGGGACCGAGAATCATCTGAGTGGGCAGTTGCTGTGCCTCCCCGATCACCCCTCCCCCTATGAACATCAGCAGAGACTGCTTTTTAATGCCAATTGGGGGGACCAACGGGCTATCTCTAGGTGGCGGGTGCCAAGCATGCCCAGGAAGGTACATGAGGCCAGTAGAGATTGAACCTCAATACCTCCTGAATGCCACTTGGGTGCCTTACCTTTTGAGCTAGGCTGCTGGATAGATACCATACATTATAATAAATTCATAATGATATATATTAATAAATTTTTATTTGAATTAATTCTAAACCTTATGTGAAATGTATCTGACTGAAATTTGGGGAACTGTGCAGGTCACGATTGCATTCCCAGATGAGGGAGCATGGAAGCGCTTCTATAAACAGTTTGCAGGCTTTGATACTGTGAGCAATCATCCCAACGATTTTTTTATTTTTACCTTTTTTCCCAACTTTCTGTTTTTCCTTTCCTTTCGCACAGTTTTCTTTTTCTTATCTCTGTTGTCCACTGTCAAAGTATTTTATCCCTTTTACGGTTTTACGGTTTTACGGTTTTACAATTTTTACATGCTTTTTGGTCATCCTTTTGCACGGTGGACCCTTTCTTTCTTTTACGTTTTTCTTTCTCCTAGAGTCCTTATCCCCTTTCTCCTTCTTACGGAATCTTACCATGTTTTGTTTGAATGGCATTTTTGTCATTTTGATGTGATTGGCTTTGGTAACAAGTAGTAAAGACGCATAAAGATGCGACCCTGGAAAAACAACAACAAATCCATTTTGTGATTCGGTCAGTGTGTGTTTTAATGTGTTTTTTGGTTTTGTAAATCTGTTTGGGTTTTCCACTCAAGCTCAGGTCTCCCTCTCCCTGGCTTCAAATGTTTTCAACACCTCCACCTTCTCCTCTGCATCCTCCTCCCCGTTCCTCCCTCTTTTTGTTGCCGTCATCGTCGTCGTCATTGTTGTTGTTGTTGTTGTTGTTGTTGTTGTTGTTGTTGTTGTTGTTGTTGT